GGGGGGGGCGGGCTAATAACGTCCGTGTGGACACCATCCTCCACAACTCCCAAACACAAACAATGCTATCATGTTCTATCATGAGATCATATACTGCCATAGTTTGTCACATGTTGCTCTATACTCTCCAAAACTGTCACAAACTCTACTGTCGTAGACTGTGACATATTGCTGTTGCTCTTGTTCTGCTCCGTATCGCTCTTCGAGTATAGGGCTCGCGATCCTAGTACCTCTGGGTATTTGGAGTTGAAGTCATGTCGAACACATACTATACAAGCATATCTTCCGGAACAGGGCTTCGTTGCAGAATGCTACTGCCGATGATTTTTTGTTGGATGGGTTTCTGCAATAGTCCACTTCCCGTCCAAGCTAATACCTGTGAAGTCGTCATCCACGCAAAGTTTTGCTCGAACGCTTGCTTCAGAATGTCCTCAAAACCACTGTAAAACGCACAAAATGCCCCATTCCAAGTGACCCCTCTGGAGGATCGCGCTCTTCCATATAAGTCGTCCCCCGAGCAATAATGTGCTGAAACAACAGTTTCGCGCATTCTTGAGCATGCACTACGCAAAACTGACGTGCAAACCGTCCGGAGTCACTCGCCTCCGTGTCACCTTTGTGGTCTCGTTGCGAAGTTTCAGTACGACTCGCTCCCGTCTCGCATCCGCACAGACATATCCATGACGCGTGCGAAACGCCATTCTTCCTTCTATCCATCGGTGTCCTCCGGCCAGTGCACTCCGACATAACAAGCGGGCCGTCGTGCTGCCCCAATCTTTCACTTGTTGAGCACAAGGCAAGAACGGCAAAATGCGTCAAGATAGGAATGTCTGAGCATGCAAACATCTGTACCGTGAGCGACTCTTCACTGGGAGAGACAGGCTTCTGATTGCTCTGTGGCCGTCCACCCGCGGACCAACTTCGGGGGACGTGGTGCCTTGGCGGTTCGCGTGAAGGGACTCGAATTCACAAAAGGCCGAAGCCAAGCTAGTATGCCTGCGATTACGAGGAATGAGCCGCGGTGGGTACCTGTGTCTGGGGAGGAGGGGTGACCCCGATCAGCGGAGAATAGGCCGACAACATTTATCTGCTTGCAGAACAGGGGCTGGTTTCGGGGAGGTTGTACGAAAAGAATCCGATCTCCTGTGTGAAGCTTAGCAGCTTAGCGCTCTCTCCACCGCTCAAACAAGGCGCCACAAACACATCGAAAGTCCTGAAAGGGCTCAGCTTTCCAGGCACCTGGGACGCTCCCTACAATGCAGTGCAGAGTTTTGCAGGATGCAACAGGAGCGCTTGCGTAGCGAATGCCCAAAATGGCAGTTAGGCTTTGTTCTTTTGGACCAGCAGATGGAGGCTACTAAGCTGCTTTCACCACAGCCGGTTGTTTTCACAGCTCGGGGCCTCCTTGGCCAGCTAGGCATGGAACGATTGTTTAATAGCGCTGAACCGCCCGTATTCCTGCAGCCTACAGCAATGTTAAGTCTTTATGTACGAGCTTGCCGACAAACAGCAGCCCTGCCAGCCAGATGGCAAATCCTGCAGCGTGCAAGTAGTTCCAAACAAGCGCTGAACTCAGCTCCTCCTGATCTTCGGACCAAGGCGCTGCATCTGCCGCCTCGTCGCTGTCATGCTGGCGTTGCTCGGCACCTGCGGAAGCCGAGCGAACAATGCTCGGAACTACCAGCCCCCTGACTATCGCCGGAACATCGACGTGGTCCAAGTATGACCGGGCCAGCCTGTAAATTTCAGGGCCATCAGGGTGCGCGACATATGGGCAGTTGTAGAAGCAAGATCTGCGTGCAAACTCTGAATTGGAAGGAGTGCACCTGGCCAGTCTGAGAGTCAGTAAGGGAATGTGCTGCGCTCCCACAACTTAGAGCATCAGATAATGACCTGCGAAAGCTTCGGGTTTCGGATTCTCCCGGAAAAAGAGGTTCATAGACTGGGGATTCTGGGCAAAAATATGGGCAAAAGTGCTAGTGCGCAGTCGACTCTGCTGCCAATGTATAGGCTAGAGAGTGGGCGTGCCGCAGCTCCAGACCCCATGCGTTAACAGCAATCCACTTACAAGCCCTCAACAAGACCTCCAAACTCCAAACCAAGTCCCAGCCACGTCCATCGCTCTGTGGCTCGCCAGCATTTCCCAGCTTGTGGCATGATGCGCCCATGGCCGAGCGAGGAAACGATGTCCGGTAGGTGCCAATAGATCTAGGTAGGTCTTTACAGTAGCTGATTGCACTTATCCCCACCAAGCCTCTAGTGATGAAGCGAACCTTCGGGGAATGAGCAGATCTTTGCCCTTGGCGTGTTCTGCAGATGGCATTGATTCGTAAGCACCTCAAATTCGGGAGTATCATCTCCTGGGAATGTTTTCTAGTACCCGGCCAGAAACAAGAATTTCGATACCCTAACCACGAGAGAGTGTTTCGTGCGTACCCCTCCCACTTCATCCCTGGATGTCCATTCTTCGACGGATGGGCAGGGCAGAAGTGTGTCAATAGCCATGTTGACATCTAGCTGCTCAGTGCCTTACGTATCAACCTTTCAATCCAATGGAGCAGCATAGAGACCTCAGAGATCTGTCGAGGCGTGAGGCTGGTGACTGGTGATTCGAGTGTCGGGCTGAGCGAGCAAAAGGCCGTAAACCCCTGTTTTTGTTGCAGCTCCTGACAATGCCGTTTGAAGCATCTCGTTCGTGCCATGCTCGAAACAGCCTCAGCTGGAAATTACTGATTGCTGCGGCTTGACCAACCTGCCCCATCTAAATGGATGCAAATGCAAATGTCAAAGTGATGGTCGCCGGATGCAACGGCTGGCATTACGCTCTCACAACTCGGACAAGCCAGGCGAGGTTCATGGTGCGTCCAGGCATTGGGGACTCGGGAAACTTGAGATCGTGAATGCATCAGCGAACTTCCAGGTCTCGGGTTGTGCTGATTCTAGCCACCAAACTCACCAAACACCGCATTCAGGATTTTTGGGGTACTTGGGTAGGTCTCGGGGTTCTTGTGTATTCCATCCATGTCCAGGGCCCTGACCTTTTCGGGCTAGCCGATGCTGCAGACCATGTCAGGCACGCCGTCCGAGCAGCCCCAAAAAGGTGAGACGTGCTTGCCTCGGATGCTGTTTCTTGGAGATGGTGTCCCTGAAGGATACTGATGTGGGTGGCTTTTGCTCATCTTATTGAGTCTCTCGTTCTGTGTTCTGCCCAGAGCTCAAGCTTTCTGTCGCACACTCTGACCGCCATGTGGACTTGTAAACCTACTGTTACGAGCATAGGAGATCCTTCCGAACTGTCAGCAGATCCCAGCACTCGCCAATGAGCCATGAGCATTGAAGTGAGCGAGAGAGGGAGAGTCAGCGCGAGGGAGAAACAAGCCACAAGCGCTGCGTCGACTTCTCTGTGCCAATTGTCGGACAAAGGTGAGGTCGCCCTTCCCATCGCAATTGCCTCAGCTTCTGTGTCTGAAATGACGAGACGGAGTATTCGGAATCTTCCGCCTGAATCCGCAGTGCTGAATCCGATCAGAGTCCGTGCACACAGTTGGTAGGCGGATGGGCGTGTGAGTGAGGGCGGCATTCCTGTCCATGGATCTGAAATCTGTTGGCACACCTCTCTCCGTCAGGTATGTCTTCGGCGGAAGTCAACCAACTTGAACCAGGAAGCATTCCATCATCTCGCAGTTGTCGGCGCTTTGACGACAAAGAGCGTTGATTACCTTGGCAGATGGCAAAGCCGTCCTCCTGTGGCGTTACCCTGATCTAGATCAAAGCCATAGTGAATTCCAGATCCTCCTGGAGCAAAGCTGAATCGAACATGTGACGCCCCAGTGTGTCACCACCGCAATGGTTTTTTCTGGACGTTTGGCGAGCACCGTCCGGAAGAGGCGAATGCTCTCAGCCTGTGCTAGTGTTGACAAACTCTTCGGTTTGAAAAGGCTGATAAATGGCGAGGCATCTAAACGCACGACTGGGGCAAATGATGCCAGACTTGGCTGTCGCAGCTGACAGTTCGGTTTAGGATAAGATGCTTCGAGAACCTTGCTCAACATGCTCCGGCCTCCGTCCCTGCATCTTTGGCACTCAAAGCTGCTTCCAGGGCTTGTACCTGGCGCTGCCGCATTGTCAATATCAGCAACCTGAGCCCCTAGCCGCCGTGGCATTGGTTTTTTGCCTAGCTTCAGCCACGCGCACTTGCGAAATCCAACGGAGAAATGTTGGCAGTCGGCACGGAGTCATGGGATACCATAATCCTAATCGCCGTAAAAGTAATACAGTAAGTTGGAGCACCGGGCGGCTAGGCATACCTGAAACTGCTTGGTACACTTTGACCTTGCCTGCATGCTGTGAAGCCCGGAAATTTTCTGAATGTGTGCCTCTTGCCCCCGCGGCAGCTGCTCCAACCTCTTGTAGACTGACTCCAAGGGGCCCCTAAGATGCGTGCAAAGGTGCGACCAGCAGCAGCAGCAGTCTGCTACTAGCCAACCCCCAGCCCCGCCCGATCAACTGCGCCTACCACATCGCCCGCAGCGGCTGAATTTGCACAGCAGGAGAACTCAACCATTGAAACCACTGTAGATGGAAGAAGGTGCCGATCCCTTGCGATGCAGCTGCAGAAAAGTGGCGGCTGGTTGGCAACGTCCTCCCACCAAAGCTCGCGGGCTGAACGGACTACGACCAAGGGGACGTCCTCCTCCTCGGCACTCATTCGCTTCAGCGTTTGCTGTGCGGTGGCGCGAGCCCTCTGTCGTTTTGTTCGGCAGCCATGCGTATCATCCGCTTCTGCTCCTTCCGTGGAAAAAGGGGGCTGAGGTTGGGGCCTGCTCTTGTGGACCTGATTCTCTCGGAGAGCCTTGGGGACTCTGGGTAGGCTTGCATGCTCCGAGCATGTCCGAGGAGTTGGCTTTGGTAGTGATGCCAGCGCGGCGGATCCAATCGGCTGCGCGTGAGCTCTCTTCACCAAACATTTGGGTAACACTCACCAGGGCACTTTATGGCTCAACAGCTCGCTCTAAACCGCAGTAGGCCGACGAGTGTAGCAGTGTAGCAGCCAGTACCTGCATATCCTGCACCGCTGCCCTCGATCTGGCCTGGAAGGCAAAGCACGCCGTCTGAATGGCCCGGGTGAGCGGCGAGAGAAGAACAACTTCCTGGGCTGCATTGTCGCCATTCCCTCGTTATATGAATCATCTTCTGCATCACCCGCCGGACATGTTCATGCCTTGCCCACACATCGGAGGCACAACGGGAAATCTATCAAGGCTAAAGGGCTTGTGAAACATCTTTCCGCTTCTAAGCATGGGCAAACAGGGATTGCTTCGCCTCAGCGCTCGGTATATTCTGTTGCGACTGTTGCTGCTGCTAAGACCTGAACCCGACTCCGTGAAGCCCATTATTAGTACCTGCAGCTCCTGGGCGCCTCTACTTCGGCCACAGGTGCAAACTCGTACTCCTCCATTTTGTCTCGCCACGCCTCTGCTTGAGTATTGCCAATGGTGAAGAAGACTGTTCCAACTTCCAACTGGAAGCAGAGAGATTCTGGTGAGTGGGGATGGCTCAAGGCGGTTGGACGACTGCTGCCATAACGATCCAGGATGCAGATTGCTGCGGTATTGTCGCTGCTTTGCTTTGACCAGAGCTCCATACAGCTCCCATGGCGACTGGGAAAACAAACTACTAGACCACTGCGGTGACCTCGTCTTGGCTTCCAAGAGCTGTTCCCAAGTTTAATATGTACGGCGGAAGCCATTGTCATGACTGGCCCTGCCTGTCAGGAACAAGAAACGAGCATGATCAGAAACATCACAGCCATGCACAACTGCTTCTACATCTTGAATGCTGCCTTCTCAACTTGTGCCTGTGTCTGAGTGCAGTTCGCCGTTCTACAAGACCAGTGGTAGCTGCAGTAGTAGCAACAGCAGCAGCAGTAGCAGGGCGGTAGTACGAGTAGTGGTCGTAGTTGTCGTCGCATGGTAGTAGTGGTGGTAGTGGTAGTGATAGTAGTAGTGGTAGTAGCAGAAGAAGTCTAAGTAGTAGTAGTAGTAGTAGTAGTAGGCGCCCCCCCCCTCCCAACCACCTCTGCTGCCAACCCTCTTAAGAGCACGTTCGTTTTACTCGGTATTTACGGTACGTTCGCCCTGTCATACCGCTTCTTCTTGCCTCAAAATCCA